TGTGTGTGTGTGTGTGTGTGTGTGTGTGTGTATATTATATATATATATATATATATTGTACAAATATGACAAGTACCCTTCGGATATTCAGATACACATTTAAATCACACCACACTATCTTCTTCCCTGTGTTTTAAAGCTTTCATGTATAAATCATTTAAATTAATATCAGATATGAGTGTATTGACAATGAAATTAGAATATATAAAGAGAGATATAGGAGATTATGAACTCAGATCACCAACTTGCAAACATTTCAGCCTCTTTAAAATCATGAATGATACTCACTTTTATCTTAAGACTTATCCTTTAACATCTGCCATGTGAAGAACTCAAATTAAATATAAATTAATTCAGAAATGTAAATATATTTATATAAATATAAATACAAATTTAATTTGCATTGTTATTCTTGATATAGGTAAGCATTTGGGACAGAGAAAAAATACATCTCTGAGCAAAGTAAAATCAATCAGCTCTTTTATTACTTCCTTTTTCTTCTAGAGTTTCTGAATTGAATCTAAAAACAGGCTCTCTTTAGTGGAACATGAACTCCTGTCTCCTGGTCAAAGTGCTTGTGGATTTATGTACATTCGTCCGATCTGTTCCACGGCACAGATTTCTTGAGAGTTAAAATCCTCGTTCCTGTCGTTTTAATGCTTACATGGCTCATATTAGATGTTATTGATGTCACTGTTTCGTGGAATGACCTTTTCCTTTTCTAACTCTTGGGTGGGGGGGTACCTTTTAAGCCAGTAAAAGGTTTAAACCACTTATGTCAAAATACATATTTCCATATTTTCCAAACATTTTCTGTTTAATTGTCTCCAGTTCCTCCGTGTGTATTGTCTCACTTGCATGCAAATCTTGCCACAGCAATGCTGCACACAAGTGGTTGCTTATCCATAGCTGCCCTAATGTGACATTAGGCTAAAGCCCTGAGGGCTGTATTATGAAGTGGGATTAATTGATTAGTGAGGTATGTTGAACTTAAAGCCAGCCGGTGGCTCACTTTGGGCTGTCTTTGTGCCTTGCTGGATCACCATGGTAACTTATGCTGAACACACAACCTGTTTGGGAGCAGGTTATTTTCAGGGCTTCAGTTTAAAATCATTTGGAACCTCTATGCTATCACAAATTCTTACAAAAACCACTGAATGGTTCTCAAGAACTGTCAAGGGGTTGACAATTGACATTTGTTCAAACACAGTAAGGGAGAAATGAGACACTGGCAGACCGACTCAGAGTTTCAAAGACGTGCGCACGGGTGAGAGTCTCTGAGCAGACTAACACAC